TTCCACTTTATTATCGCTTTCTGACCCACGTGTGATAACGTCCAATGTGCTGGTAGTGCAATATAATTATTATTGACAGGTTTTCCCGGTCATTTAAAAGATGCACTCTAACAACACTTCAGAGACACAGCAGCAATGGGTCAGAGGCAATGTCGTAGTGATGTAAACTTCAGTCAATTAAATCAAACTCAAGTCGGACTTAAGTTGCTTCAATTACCTGACTTGGACTTGACTTGAGACTTGTGTATTTTTAGTGACTGACTTGCTGATGCCATTCACTTTGAGCAGCACACAAGACCCGCTCCCAGAGAGTGAGGCACGTTTTTTTGGAAAGGAACAGCAAATGTGTTAGGCAATGGGCTTGAGGTGGAAAGAGTCTTCTAAAACTTCTGAAAAGTTTTAGAAGGTTCATCTGATGTGCAGCAGGGACACGCTGCCAAGCAGACCTCAACCCCCTCCACCTCAAGCCATGTTTAACATGTTTGCTGGTCCTCTCTGAGAAATGTGCCCCAACTCCTTTTTTTCTGTCACAAATTGGCTCCCAGACTTGAGACTCGACTTGCAAGTATCTTGCAATGCAAGGACTTGAGACTTAAAGGTAGACTTGAGACTTGGACTAAAAGACACAAATACATTTCTAGCAATAGATATTGCCAGAGATTGCTAAAATTGCAGTTTAAAACCCATGTGTGGTAAAGTCCCAGGACAGAATAAATCTGCAAGTAGATGGTGGGCAGGTATTCATGTTAGAATGGATTAATTATATTTAAAAAAAAAAAAAAAGGGGGGGGGAAGAGACTGATGAAAGTAAATGCCATCTCCCCTGCCCCCCAAGTCACCATTTTTGTTCACCTAAATCAGGGATTATCTTCTTTTGGATTTTGTTTCATGACCAATATGGCTGTCTGCTTTTTCTACATTTTTTCCTGGGATTTTTGCAGTTATCTCCTTTCCCTCTCTCCCTTCATTTATTCATTTATATTTATTTACTAAAAGGTTCTATCCAAATTCAAAAGTTTTCAAGTATTTTTAGGAAATCTTTCCACATTGGATTGTCTACCCAAGAACTCCTGCCCATCTACCATGGATCTCCTAACAGCTACAGGAGATTCTGGAAACATGTTACAGGAATCACAGTTGGGTTCTGCTAGTCTGATACAGAGCTTGGAAAATTTACTTTTGACCGCAACTCTCAGAATTGACAATTAGCATGAACAATGGGGATTCTGGGTATTGTTGTCCATAAAAACAACATTTACAAATTCTGTCCTGACTTGCTAGGGCTTTAAACTTACTGGGGGTGTACCCAAGAGGTCACCAGACATTCCCATGGGGTTATGATAACCGAGGAAGATCAGAAAGGGCACAAAAGTTACTTGATAGGTTCTGGTATATTAACAGATGTTTGAATCAGGATGTGCAGTTCTTACTATGCTCTGTGTGTTAACTGGGTTCCCATGTGTAAGTGTATTGCGCCCTCAGAGGAGTGGAGTTCAAACTATTTTTGCAGTTTGAACTCAGCTTTTTGTGGCAATTGAAGTAAGCTTCCCACAAAAGGGGAAAGTGGGAGGACTAGACAGAAGCTGGGACATTTTGAAAGCAGCTGAAAAGGTGGGACAGCAGGGGATTAACTGGGATTGTTCCTGACAAATCGGGACATATGAAGGGTATGGAAGGGACAAGCTACCAAACCAGCTTATATCAAAGTTCTCCAACTACCCCTTTTCTACAACGAGGAAATCTCCTGGCAATTCAAGAATACATGCCTTATAGAAGAAGAAACCAATCTCTGTGGCTGAAAGGAGCAGAACAGGGGGCACCATTGGCTCTTCCTGACACAAATCACCATATGATAAGAAATAAAAGGAGAAATAAGATGGAGATTGAAGTAGAAGTTGGGGCGGGGGTCTTCTTTTCAGCATTGCTGCTAAGGCTAAAGGAGGCTTGGATCAGCAGAGCAAAAAATTAAAAATGAAAGATGTGCAAACTGCTAGATCAGCAGCTAACATGCACACTTAACTCAAGGGGAGGAGGATTCCAAATAAGCCACAAATGAGAATGTTGCCAAATGTTGCAGTGCTCCAGGCTATTTTGATAGAAGTGAACTTTGCAAAATTAATGGCACCTCTTGCTGGCATGGTGACCTAGACTGGTAGATGTACATAGATCAGGGCAAAACATAGATTGTACGGCAAAGGCCAAGGTAGGGCAGAGGAGATTCACAGCAGAGTTCAAAGGCCTTTAGCTCTTTATTGGGACTCCTTTGGTGCTATTAAATTTGTTTGTAAATGACCTGGTCCTGGGAGAGAGCAATGAGATGGTGTGGTTGGTGAATGACCCAAAAGCATCAAGCCCAACGGAACCAATTTGGATTTTTATAGAGATGAGTAGGAGTTCTCCAAATTGCAAGAGTGGGGGTTAGGAATGGCAAATGAGAGTACAGGTATACCTCACTTAACAAAAGAGATGTGTCTCTGGGCATTACTTCGACAGAAACGTTGGCACCAGAGGCAGAAATAACATGGAAGGAATAACAATAATAATAATAATATTAATAAATAATAATAATAATAATAATAATAATAATAATAATAATAATAATAATAATAATAATAATAATAATAATAATAATAATAATAATAATAATAATAATTTCTTATACCCCACCTTTTCTCTTGGCAATCAATAGGGATAGGTTCTCACACTGCAAAAGAGAAGAGTAACTTGAACATGTTTCAGCAGACTTTTTATTCAGAACTAAACATATGCACATGGGAAATGAAACATCCAGGACAGGTAAGCATTGCATAAGTAAACAAATACAATAAAATAAAAAAATAAAAAATTGGAATCTTCTAGAGACCACTTTGAGTGCATCTGCACAGCAGCCTGACACCACTTTAATTGCTATGGCTCCACCCTACAGAATCCTGGGATTTGTAGTTTTGTGAGGCACCAGCACTCTTTGGCTGAGAAGTCTAAAGACCTTGCAAAACTGCAGATCCCAGGCTTCCATAAGGATGGAGCTACATAACTTAAAGTGGTTTCAGACTGCATTATTTGTACAATGTAGATGCATCCTATTTGCTGTTGCCATCCTCTGAGGCTGAGAGAGTGTGACTTGGGTTTTTATGCTCAAGCAGGGAATTGAACCCTGATCTCTAGCGTTGTAGTCCAATGCTCAAACCACTACCCCACACTGACTGTCAGTAGAAAAATATGCCTGCAGAAATGTAGCAATGCCTATGTATTTAATAAGCAAAGTAGTCAACTAGAACTTCAATGGGCAGAAAGACTGATGGTTGAAAGTCACTGAATAGGAAAGAGTCTGACAGTCTGAAACACAGTGGTCTGAAAACCTAAAAATAAAGGATAGTGCTGAGCTTGTGTTGTTGTTTCACAATCTTCTTTCTGAACAATGTTAAGTGTCAGCTGTTGAAGAGCTCTCAAGGTATGTGGCTGTTGATGTATCTTTCAGGTCATTGATTAGGCTTTCCATTACAGAAGGCTGGAGTGTTTTTCCTGATAGAGATAAGGACTTGTGATGGCTTGTTTCACAGACTGAAGCCACAACTTGAGATTTCTTCAGCATCTGACATGTAGGTTTATAGAGAAGAGGACTGTGAAGTGGCAACACAAACCCAGCTTTACCCTTTGTTTTCAGAGTGCTCGGTTTCAGATGATCGGGCTGTTGGTTGATAAATGACTTTTGACTATCCATCTGTCTGTGTACAGGACTTCGAGATGACTATTAAACAGTAACCACTCTGTTTTTTGCATGGATACTTTCCCTACTCATTTATCTCCAAGCGTACAGTACTGCTTTTATAATAAGCCATCGCCATTAGGAATTCTTCTTTAAACATTTTGATTGCAGTACAGATTTTTTCATATTTGTATTTTGCTCTGTGTAGGTCCTTTCTCTCTCTGTTCCTGTCCAGACATGTTGAACTTTACCACCCATGGCCAAAGGGAGTTGTAATGCAAAATCCAAAATGACTTGAGAACACTTCATTGGGGAAAGGTAATTTAGGTTCCTCTCGCTAACAGTTAAGTCTAGCTATCATTTCTCATAAATGTAAGGTTAAAAAAAAACGTAGATTTTCCCCCCCCCATATTTCTAAGCTTACACCTGCTGTGGTGCATTAAAAGGACTCAGAGTGCAAAATCCTTAACACAGAAATAAATAACCATAGATGAGAATCAATGTCTGGGTGTGGAGATGAGGGTGGTTCTTCAATGTGGTTGGTTTGCATGGAAGCATCTTGAATAGTCAGGAGGCAACCAAGGTTATAATTGAATCACAGAACTTGCTTCTGGAAATTTTTCTGCAAAAATAATCTGGTCTGACACCACTTTAACTGCTATGGCTCAGTGCTATGGAATTCTGGGATTTGTGGCATACTAGTTTAAACATTGGACTATGACTCAGGAGACCTGGGTCTGAATCCCAGCTCATCCATGGAAACCCACTGGGTGACCCTGGGCAAGTCACACTCTCTCAGCCTCAGAGGAAGGCAAAGGCAACCCCTGAACAAATCTTGCCAAGAAAACTCTGTGGTAGGGTTGTCTTAAAGTCACCCTAGGTTGGGAATAATTTTACGGCATACAACAACAAAACATCTAGGTGGGTGCTCCATTTTGTTTTGGTTTTGTTCTGGCTAGCAGCTGACCATGGCAAAGCCCCTCTGAAGAAACTTGCCAAGAAAACCGGATGACAGGTTCTTGCCTTAGGGTCGACTTGAAAGCCCACAACTACAAGAATAAGATTTTAATAGCAAGGGGGTGAAACACAGGCTCTCACACACACATCCTATTTGCAGCCTAAAATTCAGGGGGGGAAAGTAATCCTGTAATTTTCTGGCAGGTGTAGATAGCCTATTGACATATTTTAAGGGGTTGGAAGTAATGAGAATTGAAATAATAGAAGTAAAACTTTTTCAGGGCTCAGGGTGGGAAGGCTATGTGTGTGTATGTGCCTTTAAGTTGCCTGTCAGCTTATGGTGACCCCCCACATTTCATAGTGTTTTCTTAGGCTAGGACTATTCAGAGATGGTTTTACCAGCTCCTTAACCTCAAATATAGCCTACAGCCCCTGATAGTCACTGGTGGTCTCTCATCCAGGTATTACCCCAGGCTGGTCCTGCTTAGCTTCCAATATCAGATAGAATCTGGTGCCTTAAAGATATTAAAGCTATAGTCCTTCAGATATTATCAGAACACAATTCCCATAATCCTTGACTATATGGGTCTAATGGGAGTTGGAGACCAACAACATGCAGAAAGTTCCTTGTCTGCCTTTTAGGGGGGAATTCTATATGAGAATATTAGGTATGATTACTAATTATATAATATGGCCCTTGATATTGTAAATGTCAATCCACACAGCAGGCTGTAGATAATATAATAAAGGAAGGAAAAAGCAGCGTTCCAGGCAATCTAATGGTTTTGTTTATGACACAATGGTCTGACTTCTCTTGGTTGGTGCAATAACAGCCATCCTGATGAAGCTGTAGGACTTTCTTAAGTGTTGACTCAACAATTTAACAGTTGCTTAAATGGGACCATTTTAGTTGGAAATACTAAGGAGATTTTGCATGATATAGGGTTAGGGTTAGGGAACCAGTTCCCTTTATTTTAGGTAGCTTTAAACTTCTGCAAAGAAAGGTTTGGGGTCTCAAGCCTACCTCCACTGTATTAATAATAATACAGCAACGAATAACAATTGTTGTGTGCCTTCAAGTTGTTCCTGACTTATGGTGACTCAGTCTAAGGCAACCCTATCATAGGATTTTCTGGAGCTGAGAGTGTGTGACTCCCTCAAGGTCACCCAGTCGGTTTCCATGGTTGAGCGGGGAATCAAAGCCTGATCTCCAAGGTCATAGTCAAATCACTAAGCCACACTGGCTGTCTAATAATAGCAATAATTTAATAACAATTAACAAGAACAAGAAGTTATATTAATAATAACAAACAAGATGCTGGACTAAATTGTGCTTTTTTGGTTTGATCCAGCATGGCTTGTATTATGTTCTTATGCCAGCCCAAAGAGGCAAACCTGTCCCTGAACTTCTGTTAATTAAGGATTGTGTCAGGTATTAAAATTAATTAAGAGTTTTCTCTTTGGGCACTGCCAATGGCACTGCCAATAGCTATGTGGCAGGCAGAAAATCACCATATTAAGCCCCAGCCCCATCACTTCATTTGTAGACTAGGAAATCTTTGTTGTTATTGTTGGGTGCGCTCAATTAGACTCTGATTTATCATGATCCTATCCTAGGTTTTTCTTGACAATATTTACACAGTTGCCTTCCTCTCAGGCTGAGTGTAACTTGCCTAGTGTCACCCAGTAGGTTTCTGTGGTTGAGTGGAGATTTGAACTCTGGTCTCCCAGAGTCCAACACTCAAACTGTTACATCACACTGGCTGTATAGGAAAATTTAAGCCTTTTGAGGGGAGCCAGTGTGGCATAGTGGTTTGAGCGTTGGGTTCTGGCTCTGCAGACCAGGGTTCGAGTTCTGCTTGGCCATGAAGTCCCCTGGGTGGGCAAATCACATGCTCTCAGCATGAAGGGAAGGCAATGGCAAGCCTCCTCTGAAGAAATTTTGCCAAGAAGACCCCATGATAATTTCACCTTAGGGTCATGATCAGTTGGAAATGACTTGAAGGCACATAGCACGCCAACCTGTTGAATTGTCCAACGGATGGGACTCCAACCTGGAAAATATATATATATATATATATATACGTACACATGCCCACTGGCTGAGTCTCCCTTATTTGAATTCCAAAATACTCCAGAATCCAAAATTGTTTGCATGGGTGGCTGAGACAGTGGCACCTTTGCTTTCTTATACTCATTGTACACAAACTTTGTTTCATGCACAAAATTATTGAAAATATTGTGGATAAAATTATCCTTCAGGCTATGTGTATACGTGAAACACAAATTAATTCCATATTTAAACTTAGGTCCTATTGCCAAGATCTCGATATTCCAAAATCCGGAAAACTTTGAAATCCGAAACACTTCTGGTCTGTATCTATATTTATTTATTTATTTACATCCCATCTTTTCCCCAAAACTAGGACTGAGGCTGGCTTACAATATTAAGAAACAGTACAGTTAAAAGCATACCAGAAATTGTAATTTAAATTATTACAATATTGAAACAAATTGTATGTTTTTTTAAAAAAAGAATAAAATACAGTTTAAAAGGGCAAGAATGTTTAAAACACTTTAAAACAATACAACTATGTTTTATGACTCTGACTCTGGAGACCAGAGTTTGAATGTGGGCTCAGCCATGGAAACCTCACTGGGGGTGACCTGGGGCAAGTCACACTCTCTCAGCCTCAGAGAAAATAAAAAAAATAAAATAAAAATAAAAAAAACAAAAACCCACGAAGAAACAGGCCAAGCAAACCCCACCTTAGGGTGGCCATAAGTCGGAAACGACGTGAAGACACTCAACAACCAAGAACAATCTCTCTTCCAAAGAGAAGCTTAGAGAGTTCCCACCCAAGACTACATCTCCCAGGATGCCTTTCGCACCCGGTAGTGGCTGCCATTGGCGGAGG